TGTGTGTGTGTGTGTGTGTGTGTGTGTGTGCCTTCTCCAACCTCCCAAACTTTCTTTTTATGTGTGCATTGTTATTTGTGCTTGAGCAACATTTTACTTGAACTTTATTTCAATTAAATTAGTTGTAATTATTGTCCTACATTTTAATTTGTTTTACAGAGAGGTTTCACAGCTGTCTGGGCCTAGTGGCCCACAGGCGGCATTTATCCAGCAGCCAGAACATCCATCTGTGCCGGCCCCCAGGTCAAGATCTACAGTGGCTCAAGGGCCTTCACCAGAGCGATCACCACCAAGGACCAGCAGACCAGCATCACTACAGCTGCCTCCACCTCCATCTGCGGCTGCCACCAGGTCAAGATACACCTCAGCACAAAGGCTCCACCACAGCCATCACCTTCAACCCAGCCAGCAAGGAGGTCTCGTGGAGGTCTCGTATAGCACTTGTACACCCCACCTACACAGCAGCCCATACACCATCACCCCCATCTTCACAGCAGCCAGACCCACTGTCTTGGAAGACAGACAAAGACCTTGACACTGTCTTGACATTTATAATGAATAGTTGGTTGAAAGTTCTGATGTTCAATATTGTAAATAGTTAGATTTTCCAGTTTCTTATATTTATATAAATAGTTGGTTGAAAAAAACATATTTATAATAAATTGTTGGTTGAAAAAAAGGTTGAATGCTCAATTTCTATTTGTACACATCACATGAACCTTGGTATGTAATATGAAGTCATTATTCAGTCCTAATGTATCTCAGCCCCTGCTGTGGTGAAAGTAGAGTGATAAACACCTATTTTACTCAAAATTCGAATTTAATTTTTTTCATTTTAGACATGAATAACACATTTATATACAGTGTAATTCAAATATTTCACTGCTTTTGTGATCCTAAGACTTTGGTAACCTAATCTAAAACACCAAAACAATTCGATCACATGAGTAAATTTGTGTTTTCACAAAAGTTTTGAAGATTTTCCGAAAATCGGAAGTCAAATTTTAAGCTTTTGAGCTACTTATCTCATCAAACAGTGCTCTAAGGTGAGTAATTTGCATATATAGCAATACCAGAGATTGTCCTGAACATTTTGATATTTAACACATGGGGTGCCATGTTAGAAGAAATACATTTAAAAGGTGATTTAAGAAAACATCTAAAAATCGAGAAAATACCCTTAGACTCCAGAGGGTTAACTCCCATCATTCCGAAGACCCATTTCTTCCTTCTCCAGGTATGTCCAAAGCGTCCACGTGCAACAAAAAATAAAACATAACATCATCTTAGTCAACAACCAAATGCACACAAATTACAGTAAAAATTGTTGCACATCATGTTTCAAAATGCCATACTTGTGTATTAGGTGCATTGTATAACATAATTTAAGGATAATTATACAGTAATGGTTCATATTGATTTTTTTGTACAAGAAACGTGACGTTAACGTGTAACCTCAATAATGAACTCCAGCTCAACCAACCATATTGTAATATCTAAGTAATCATCTTGAAATATTACATATTTCATATACACACAACTTATTGTGAGGTTAATTTCACATACACTACGCCGCTCTTCACGTTAGCTTGTCTACATAATCGATAATAGCACATTTAAATTAACATTATCAATGCATAAAGTTACCTACCTAATACAATATCTCTCTAACTTACAAGGATGACCTTATTTTACCAACCTCAAACAGAAGCCGTTTGTTCTACAGTATTATCCCACTTAATGCTTAACACGTCTCTATTACGTTTTAACTAGGAGGCTACGATTAGCATCGTTAGCACAGATGTAGCTACCACTTGCTTACTACATGCTAACCAAAGCCTTAACATTCATTAACGTTAGCTGACTAAAAACATAAGTAAGTAAATGTATTGTATTTACTTGTTTAAAATGAAATGTGTTTTAGGTTGACTTTTAACATCTGTCCAGGGACTACAGATGAAAAATAGCCTCTTAGCTAACTCTGGCACATTTACAGAAATGTTCATTAATGTGCACTGTCCCTGTTAAATAAATGAATAAATACAAAATAAATAAATAAGCAACACATAAATAAAGTAGGCCTACTCGAATTTCACTTACCGCAAAACTGCATTCATGCACCGTCTGTTTTAAACGCGGAGCGAGTCACAATAGTAGGCTACGATATAAGCATGAAGAATAGTCCACAAGGCACCAGCACAACAAACACGGCAGAGTTCAAGTTATGTTCCCCGGATGAGCTGAGCATGCTGAGTCCCTGTAGCACAGGCATGGGCAAACTAAGGCCCGTGGGCCATATACGGCCCGTTTAATCTTTTAAGCTGTCCAGCTAGCGAATCAGTGCATGAGAAGCGAAACGGAAGTGAGGGACCCAAACAAACTATTAAAGGTGGGGTAGGTAAGTTTGAGAAACCGGCTCGAGATACACTTTGTGTTATATTCCATGGAATGCTCTTAACATCCCGATAGCAATGAATATCTTAAGTGCTTTGACAAAAAATCCATTAAAAAACATCATCTGTGGAAGCCGTGGTACTGTAAAAAGCACGACCAATCATTTTAGCCGGCCCGGCTAAAGTAACTGGATGGCCTACCTGCCTGTCAGCCTTCCATCTGTGCACAAACTTATCTCGTGCCCTCATTGGTCATGTGCGCGTTCGTGTGTGTTGGAGGAGGGGCTCTGTAAGGAAGTGGCAGATTTGTTCCGGCTGTGTATTTTCAAGTTCTAGCGCACTCGAGCTGGTTTCTCCAAAATTACCTACCCCACCTTTAAGAGGGCAAATCTGAGATTTCATTTAACTCCAGCTCTCGACACAGGTTCAGGAAAGCCCCATGAGCTTCTCGTTGTGGAGTGCAAATGGAACGCATACGCTATTTGTTGTTTGTTTATATCACGCACTGTGTTCTTCTCCTCTCGGTTATCACGCAGTCTGTCTTCCGGTTGTTGCCTCTTTTGAATGACGAATACACACTACCGCCGCCTGCTGATAAGGAGAGTTATTGCCACTCACGCATGTGCAGTTCGTACATGCTTCTTGGCCGTCAGCTGAAGTCTTTACGGTGTGGTCCAGTGTGACACATGGTCAAAACGCAGAGACGAGAAGTAACGCCACAGTCGGGGTCCATCTGTGTCAGTTCTTTGGTGTCAGCTTGGTGTGTCCGGGCCTTTAGTTCCATGGGGGTACTAAGTGCTGGGAACTAAGTAGGCTACGGCAAAGTACTTGGTGTGAAAGCGGCTATTGGGATTAACCTGAGCAATAACAGTTCATGGCGAAATACAAGTTGTAACAAGCTATAGTGCTGAGCAAAGTGACTAGAACGCGACCACACACTTATACAAAACACAGAGACAGGAAGCTAACAGCAGCAGCCACTGGAATGACCTGTCACTCAATGTGACCACGCCCTAATTCATGCATAACTTTAAGGCTTAATATAACTTAAAGGTGGGGTAGGTAATTTTGGAGAAACCAGCTCGAGTGCGCTAGAATTTGAAAATACACAGCCGAAAAAAATCTGCCACTTCCTCACAGAGCCCCTCCTCCAACACACACGAACGCGCACATGACCAATGAGGGCACGAGATAAGTTTGTGCACAGATGGAAGGCTGACAGGCAGGTAGGCCATCCAGTTACTTTAGCCGGGCCGGCTAAAATGATTGGTCGTGCTTTTTACAGTACTAGGGGTTCCACAGATGACATTTTTGTATGGATTTTTTGTCAAAGCACTTAAGATATTCATTGTTATCGGGATGTTAAGAGCATTCCATGGAATATAACAAAAAGTGTATCTCGAGCCGGTTTCTCAAACTTACCTACCCCACCTTTAAACAAATGATAAATGGTTGTAACTCATTAATAAATGGGAATGTGTTTTACACTTTACAAGGCTCGCTTTTGGCAGTTATAAATGTTTGTAACTCATACATAAATGGCCATATGAGTGGAGGGCATACAGGAGAGTGCTGAGTAACATGGGGTACAAGTACAACCACTACACCATAAACCACAGCAGGTGGTTTGTGAACCCCCAGACTGGCAGTCATACCCAACATAATGAAAGAGCTTGGTCGACCGTCAAAGGACATGTCCGTAGACTGAGAGGAAACCGTACAGAGAGTTTGTTGGAGGAACACCTCAAGGTTCTTGAATGGTCATCTTGGCTTGGCTCTGCTCACCCTGATGGACTGCTTGGACGCTTGTTCAAGAATATACACAAAGCCTTTCCAGTCTGAGTACCATTATGTCTTACCAGGTCTTTCATTTATGTCTGAGAAAAGCTTTTATGTTTAAATATGTGTATAAGTCATACTAAACAGTCATAACTTTGAGTCCTGATTTTCTTCATGTGTGAATAAAATGTTTTGCTTGGCTCTTTTGCATCTTACTTTGCATTTCATGTGAAAAATATGTATTAGGTAAGCGTGAATGTTATAACTCATTCATAAATGGACATGTGTACTATATTAAACTTAAAAACAACGCAACCTTTCAGTGGTTATAAATGGTAGTAACTCTTTAATAAATGGTGATTTGTTTCACACTTTACAATAAGGCTCCCTTTTACCAATTATAAATGGTAGTAACTCATTAATAAATGTATATAATATAAGTACAGATAAATGTGGGCTCAGTATTTGGCAAGCAACCAGTTACAGTTGCCCTGTTTATATCATGTCTTATAAAAGCTTATTAATTATTTATAAAGTGTTCACAACCTAATTAATTAATTACAAACTATTCGTAAACCCTTTATAAGGGTAGTCTTATTGTAAAGTGGTACCGGAAAGTCAAACTTTTCCTCCACATGTCATCCAGCAGCGGGTTTTATCTTCCAAAGTATTTTAATGATCACACAGATACCTTACTAGGGCCGACAGTGATTGACGTTTGGTCACAGCGGGATTTACTAAAAAATATTATATTTTTTTTATAATTCACATTATCATTGTAGAAAATTTATTTTCACACGCCACAGTAAATAGAAAAATGAACCACCATTGTTAGTCAAATTATTTTTTTATTGCATGAACATAAACATATTGTAATAATGGAAATGAGTAGACAGTGCATTGTTAAAATAATAAAACGGGTAAAAAGGAGATCTGTTAACATAGTAAAATATAATGTTATATATATATATTTTTTTAAATAATATTCTATTTATATTTGTTATTGTAATATTTCAGCACTAGGTCAGCATCCACATAGGTCATACTCAACTGTTCGCTGTCGTTTCTTTTCAAATCAAAGCACTGGGACAAAAGTTGTTTGCAACTTTTTGTCTTCCCTCTGCTTTTCACACTTACTGAGACCTTATTCAACATACTCCGGACCTCTCTTGTTCCTTACCAAAATCTGGCTTTACTTTCATGTCGCTCTTTATGTACAAATCATATTATAAACATTGTATACATAAAGAACACTTATATGTTCCTCTGCTAAGGCAGACTTTTACCCTACATATTTATAATAAATGTACTTTAACTGTACATAAATGAGCACACCATGAATATGTCGAGGTACATGCTAAATGTTTACTTGCAATGTAGTGACAAAACCCTGGTGTGTCATTCATATGCAGACAGACGGATTAGTCTTCATTCATTGTACAAAACAAACAACACATCCAAAAAGACAAAAAACATTGCCGCCATTCAAGGAAAACTATTATTCTCGTTCCCGTACGGCCTAATGTTGACAAAATACCACACCATGTTAGTTTTATTATCATCAACACTAAAGTATAAAGAGCCTGCATGCTATCAGAGGTAAGACTAATGTTAAGTCATATGCACAAATTATTAATTTGTGGGGGAAGAAGTAAATCAAGGTTAATAAATGTTCCATGATTGATATATTATTTTAGTATTTGATGGGATATTGAGGATTATCAACTGCAGAAGCACAATACATTATTAGACTTCTAAATACTTTAAACAATAAAGTACCAGGGATGACAAATAGAAATGATTGCTATAAAGAAAAAAAAATTTCAAATCAAACTATTTTCTGTTATAAACATCCAGGCTCAGTATAATTATAACAGATAATTACAGGACAGATAACTGTTCATATAATAATATACTCACACACAACACCAACAGCATATACATGTGCTTATAATTTTTCAATTAAATGTACATAAAATGTATGATTGTACATAAAACACACTCAAGCTGCACATTTAATAAATAAATAAATTCAGAGACCAGTTGCTAAAAAAGGAAAAATATACTCCTATGTAGTGGTTTGAAATCAGCTGCCAAGGCGAGTGAATTGAAGAGTAAATACTCACAAGCACCACAGGAAATGTATAAGCTGATAACGAGAAGCTTTGCTGCCTCGGGCCAGAGGATTCTTTACCATGAAGCTTGTCTCTCCAGGTGTTCAGTCTGTTCACTGCATCAGGCAGCTGGAGCCTGGCAGGAAGTCCTGGAGATAAGTGATGGTCGCCTTGGACAGGTAGGTCATGGTGCCGAAGCTGCCACTGGGGGCGCTGTCGTAGAAAAAGTTGCAGATTCCGGTAGCTGGGTCTTTCTCAAGGAAATAATCACTGGCACTGTGGGACTTCTGGGGATGCAGAGGTAGAAAACAGTAAAGCCACAAAACATAAAAAATTATGACTGCAACTAAGAAATCAGAAATTGTGAAACATATCTATTCAAGTTCCTCAAAAGGGTTCCAGTCAAAAAGCCAAATATATTCAGTTTAATATGATATGAAACTCAAGAAATCTCCATATGAAAACAACATATTTTAACCTTTTATGCACAAAATGTAAGAAAAAATTATAATAACCTGGTCATTGAGGAAGAGGTCATTGGCCAGATACAGGATGCGGTCCACGTGAATAATGCCACCGATGCTGTTCACGTCCACGTCGGCCACCAGGCCCAGAACCATCATGGTCTCCACCAGCAGCTGCCGGTACTCTGGCTGAGGGACGTGGTTCAGGACAGACTCCACCTGCACTGCAAACTTGATCTCTCCCTCTGTCATCTGCACAGGAAAAAAAAACGTTAAACACAGAAACACACACGGAGAGTCCTAAAACAGCTATTGTCTGTGAGATGCTACCTCTCTTGTGGTCGAGGAGGGCAAGACATATCCATCGATGGACAGGCCGTGGCACTTCTGCAGGATCTTCCACACCTTCTGGTAGAAACCCGACGGTACTCTGTTGATGGCTCCATCCAACCTGCGCCTCCTCAGCCACTGGCCCTGCCTCTCCTCCCAGTGCAACTGCCCGTCACCCGGGCCGGCGCCCACCGGGGACAGGATACCACTGGGGGTGGAGGGGCTGCTGCAGCGCTGCCGTGAGAGAACAGGAGGATACTGTTTAAATATCTTTAATGGACTTCTCGCTTCACAAATGTTTAACTCTATACCTGCAATTATTCATGCATATTGATATCATGCTCTATCAAACTTGGTAAAACAGGCTGGTGCTGGTGCTATTGGGCTTTATAGTGTAAATAACAATTACTCTACACTTACAAAAGCAACTATATATTGAATGTAATGTTCTAATGTTGCGTATCCCTCCATGAATGATTGTCCAAGACATATCAGGGTTGCAATTCCTGCTTTAGGTTCAAAGGTGTCTTTTTCAAAATAATAAAAAGCTAGAATAACAGCAGCCTTATCCCTAAATGTTTCCTTTTTAAATCGTCAACCGTAGATATAACAAAATATGAATAAAAAATGCTTTTCAGATTAGTTTACTCAGTGTGTCTATATATTATAACTACGGCAACCCTAGGAAGGACAAACATGTCTATATGTTTATGCAGTATTTGTAAGCAGATGAGGTGGAATGGTTTACCGTGGAACGAGGAGAAGTGACATTGCTACTCAAGGAATGACCGCCGCTGAAGATCTACACATGGATATGGATGAGATGAGAGAGAACAGTTTGAGATGATTCACATGGTTCTCATACTGCACAGAGATGTTTCATCTGTAGAGTGAAATTCAATTAATCGGAAACAATGACAGATCACAAGAAAGCCCATTCCACAAACAAATGATGCCACTAAATGCTGAGACTCTATCAAGTAATGATAGACGAGTGTGGTCTTCCAAAGAGTAGCTTATAGAAGGTCTGGATTGGATGAGGTAATGAGTTGTCTAAAAGCAAAATGTTATACTGTTATAACATTAGCAGAGATATGTTAGTGTACTGTGTTAAGCATGTTTTCCTTCTGATATGTGATGAGGTGTGAGTCGTTCCAGATATGGAGGGCGTATGAGCAGGGTTAAACGGCGGTTTGTTTTCTTAAGACTGACGTTAGAAACATGCTAAATATTATCAAACCCAACGCACACTGATAGGCCGAGAGTCATCCAGCTGCAACCAAAGTAAGAACACTGTTAAACTATTCTGAGATAGATTGATAGATAGGATAGATAGATTATTATTGTTAAGGATTACTATGCAATGATCATTTTTGTGCTTCCCACCTGTTTTATCTCCCTCTTCAGTTTGTGTATTCCTGTGCGTTCAGTCTTGGTGGCTCCAGTGTGACCAAGTTCATGGATGGAGATGGAAGGACTAGTGGCTGTTGACTGGATTGGGCGCACTGTTAAAAACAGATAACAAACAAACAAAAAAATGTATTACTTCTTCTATAGCCTATTTCTAGACCTCTAGACGAATTGGCCAGTAAAAGCCCTCACATATACTGTGAAAGAAGCAGAAAAACTCACCGCTTCTCTCCACCCCAAACTCTTTGCCACTGAGGATGTGATGCAGCAGGCTCTTCATGCCAAAAGGACTAAGGCTCATTAAACTCTCAGACGCCTCTTCCCCTAAAAAGAGGATACACATTTTAAATGTTTCACTGGGCAGGTTAGTTTATGTATGTGAAAATATTTGTTCCTGTGTTTTCCTACCGGAGCAGTGTAGGCTGCGAGCCAGCTCCGTGGCCATCACCTGCATGATGAGTCCTATCCTGAGCCGGAGCATGTCCCCAAACAGAGCGGGCTGCGACCGCACGTACATGGCTAGATAGACCATGATTTCCTATATGACAAACACACAGCTGTAAGGGAAGTGTTTGAATAATTAATGAGGCAGTCCAGAGGGTTTAATAGTTACCTGTGTGAGAACAGCTATACTGATGTCCTGACCACTGGCTTCATAGATGAGATCGTTTAACTCCTCAGGAGGAAGAGGACTGAAAGGGAATAGAGAAGAGAAAGATTTGGTTTGTTTGGTATGTTTATTAGCAAAGCCTTAATGTGAGTCACTCCAGTTCCTGTGAATAATGACTTACACTGTGATGACTCTTTCCCTGGGCTCAGGGGGAAGACCTACAGTCAGCTGCTTGTGATGAGAAATCAGATCCGTGCAGGCCTGAGGAATAGACAGATTTTATCATGGCTAAATGTTTTTAAATATCTCATAATTGATTGGTTTTGCACCTCTTTGTTATAGCCAAGTCAATCAGCAGGTATTCAAAGTGTTGTTCAAAGACAGTTCCTAAAATAAGTTACAGGCACATTTTTTTTATGTAGAAAATAAAACTACCTACTAGGCAATAAACCTGATTCAAAATGTTATGATGCAATTTTTCTCATGGCCAGCAGATGGTGTTAAGAGCCTTCCAAGAACATGGTTTGATAATAGGCTTGTTTGAGACAAGCGAGACCTGCGCAGTTGCGATCAACGTCTTGCTAGTGCGTTGCATGATGGTTAGTCATTTTGTCCGACTTGCTCTGGAGGCTCGCCTACATGAGACGTTGAAATCTCGCGGGACAAAGACGCCTTGAGAGCGAGGCGCGGCGAGGCGGCGCAGTTCCTCTCCACGGGCTGCGGAAGCGAAATGCTTGATGGGAAACGACTCGCTGGTATCTCGAGCCGAGCGCTCATTGGTGGTTTTTACCCCGTGCTGCTGATGAAACTCTCCAATTGGCTCAGCAAAAGTTTGTTGTTGTTTTGTGTCAGTTTTACGTCGCCACATCCATTCCCATTTTTCATCATTGTTCCACAATGTTTATCATCATGACATTAATATCTATATATTTTATACTATACTTGCACTGCTTACCGTGTTCATACTTTATATATCTTAGCATATTCATACACACTGTTCATACTGCTCACAGGCTGATATCTAGTGTATTCATACCCCTCAATGTTTATTCATCATTCAATTCATTCTATATTTTATTCTGTCTATTGTGTACATTACTTTTCACTTTACTGCTTGTTGCACCTGGTTAGAAGCTAAAGTGCATTTAGTTGTCTCAGTACCTGTAATATGTGCAATAACAATAAAGTTGAATCTAATCTTGAGCAGGAACAAATGGATTTACTTAGTACATATCTGACATTAACGATTAAACACATGTGTGCATTCTTTATAAATGCAAACTGAGTCAAGCCGACTCCGGAGGTGGCGGTATGCACCTTAAAGTTGTTTGCAACCCGCCAAAAAACCGCAAGAAGAAGAAGACGAAGCCGACTCCGAGCTGTCCGACTTCAGGCGAGCTTTTTGAGACCTCCCCTGGCTGCGATCGGCTATTCTCGTCTACTTTCGAGGCGAGCCGCAACGCGTCTCAAACAAGCCTATTGATACCATGAATTGTACTTACATTAGTGAATTCATATTTGGGACAGATCGGGGGAGATTACAGTATATAAGACTAGTTTAGATAAGAGTGTTGTGTGTAAGTTAAATGTTGCATCTAAGGTGTACTAGAGGAGGAGAATACTTTAGCAGAAGAAAAAAGGGAAAACATTGCTCCTAGTGTGTTTAATTCAATTAGTTATACACTACTTGTTTTGCTACATGTCGGGATGTACTGTAGAGTATGTCAATTCAAAAGAGTTGAACTATGTAGGGTTATATAGTGCCAATATTTTGAAAATAGTCTCAAGCATTATGCTGAGCAACCCAGTTGTCTGTTGTAATAGAAAATGACTCCTCACTGACCTCAGCGAGGACCTCCACTCTCTTGCGTAGGATCCCAGAGATGTATCTGATGAGCCCCCACTCTTTGGAGGACCCAGCCTGTTCATACAGCTCCTCCAGCAGGGACCGCACGCTGACCCCGCCCTGCCCCTGACCTGACAACTCCACCAGCCAATCAGCTCCTCTGGGCATTGGAAAAAACACAGTGCGGGTCATTGAAAAAAAAGTTTGAGTATGATAATAAACGTGTGTGTCTGCGTATACGTCTCTATGTCAGTACTTCATTATATAAAGGATGTAGAGTATGTCGGCCTGGTCCTGCAGCGTCGGACACTCTTTTAGCTGCCGCACCAGCGCTGCAAAGTCTGTGTTCCCCTGCGAGTCTCTGGGCAGGTGCAGGTCAGCAGCACTGTGGGGCTGGAGAGGGAGGTCGGTGTAAGACTAAATACACTTCATAGCAATACCGACGTCACAAGAGAAGAAGTGTCTACCTTGTGCTGCTTTGTCTGTGGGCCATGCTGAGGTTGAGCAGGAACATTAAGTAGGTTGAGAGCTTTGCGGCGTTTGGTCTTAATAGGAGTCACAGGCAGGTACATGGAAGACTCTGAAATACACAACATTTGATAAAGTGAAAAGGATCATTTTTGCTATGTTAACAATTTGTTACTTGGTTGAATGTTTAATTTTGTATTGCACCTTTATTTACCCCACAGAAATATTTGTTCAGTACCCATTGAGGCCCCTGACAACGCACAATTCAATGGGATATTACTCTGTTGTTTTCAGCATTAGATTAGATTTAGAGTTGGATGGAGGTAAGTAGGTTTTACATTTGAAGAAAAAATCAAATTTTGCCTCTGCAACATCATGTCTTGGTGCTTCATTAAAGTATGGGTTACCAAGGCTTCAAATTACAAAAAGCTTTTTTCTTTCTCTTCTTTTTTTTGGAGAAAAAACCTAAATACTGTAGATAACTGTTTCAACTGGATTTGTGTTTCCCATTACCAAAAATCAGCCATAGCCCCAAGCCATATTTGTATTCTGCAGTGCCTTACTATAACGGCCCGTCCACACAGCGGCGTGCGTTGAAGCTTGCCGGAGGGCGTGTCTGAAACTCGACCAACAACCAATCACATTAATCTTCTGCCCCTGACACACAAGCAGCGGTTTGATTGGCTAGAACTTGTACTGGCATATGATTCGATTGGCTGACGCTTCTGCCGAGGCTTCAAAAGTTGAACATTGCTCAACTATTGCAGCGAGTCACGCCAGCAAAGCTCCGCGTCGCTTCCCACAATGCAGTTCGGCGAAAAGTGACGTCACCCCATTCAAAGTGAATGGTGAAGCTTTCAATGCACGCCGCTGTGTGGACGGGCCGTAAGCTTTACATCAGCCTTGATAAGGCCTGGACCATGGACAGCAGCATTACAGAAAAATGTCCAAAAGGTGAAACAGACTTTGACCGACAAGTATTTTTTGCATTTTCCTAACCTAGTTAAATAACACAGAAGTATCTAAGAGGCTGAGATAAGTGATATTTAAATTCTCAAGATGCCAACAATTCCATATGGCAGACCAAGTTATCTTAACTACTTAGCCGACTGTAAGTGCAGTCATATTCTCTTTGCATAACAGATGTCTTCTCCTTTTCAATTATCCCTCACGTCCTCATGATGTTTTCTCAGCACCAGTGGTGTAGTGGGCGTTGGACGCGGGGGTACGCCGTACCCCCACTTATTTGGAGCATGATCTTTTTTTTAATAGTCTAATAAATATAAAATCATTGCCAGTCTTATCAGTTGCAAGTGTGTATTTGTTGTAATAATGACAAAAACATAATACATTTCACAGTAATACAAAATAAAAACGATTTGTTTAAGTACGATTCCTCATCACGCTCGTGACCCCGCGGCGAGCTGGGGGTGTGTCACTGACACACCCACGGCCAGCTTACCGCCCGCCGATTTTGCGGCAGCTCTTTCCCTCAAGAACGCTAACGAAAAAGCTCTATAATGGCAGGCAAACATTTTTTACTTGACTTCTTTTCTAAAAAGAATATAATTCACAAGAAGAAAGAGGCTAGCAGCACCGAAGCTACAAGTGAAGCTGCTACTAGTACTACTACAGTACATCATCAGAAGAGCCGCCTAAAGACGTGGATAATGCTAGCTAACGTGCACGTTAGCTGCGCTAGCAACGTTCCCCTGGCTAGCTCAAGCTCACCTTTCCCAGAGGTATGGACGGAGGAGATGTGGCGGAGGAAACAAGAGGCATACCCGTGGATAGACTGCAAAGCTGGGAAACTGGGCTGCAAAGTTTGTTCATCCATTTAGGATTTATCAGTCTTCAAAACGCAAGGTGTGTGTGTGTGTGTGTGTGTGTGTGTGTGTGTGTGTGTGTGTGTGTGTGTGTGTGTGTGTGTGTGTGAAAAGCAGCGCTGTCCTGTCTGCTTATTTGCAATGTAGGCTAGGCCTAATCAGAATAATTTCAAGTCCAGATTCAATGTTTGCATTAGTAGGCTATATATATTTTTTGTTTTGTTTATTTAATAAGTTAATTTCAGGACAACTTTGGGAATTTTGTTTGTTTGTTATGAGTTTTAAGTAGATTTTGAAAGTGGAGAAAAGCAGCGCTGTCTGCTTACTTGCAATACTGTAGCTTATGCAATTTAGGCCTATACATTGTTTATGTAACGTAGCCTATGTGCCAGTGTGTCCATGGTTTTGAGTCTGTGTGTGTTGAGCACAGCGCCGTCTGCTTTTTGCAGTACAGTAACTAAAGTAGGACTAAGCATACCGGTAGTTTCTGTGGACCTGTCTGCCCGTTTTGTGAGTGCACTGTGCGCATGCGCACTTGTGTGGCATTGTTTGGGATGACCTAATTTAAAATAGCGTCCCCCCAGTAAAAAAATCCCCACTACACCACTGCTCAGCACTGCTCAGCACTGTTAATGAAATACGGTTAGGAAAAGCCTTGATAATGTTTTTTAATAGAGTGCAGCCTTCCAATGAATAGTTAGACTCGGAATAACTCACTTGGCATGTTCAGGCCCTGGACCTGGGCCATGAAGGACAGGATGTCCCTGGTGGTGTGTTCAGCACTGAAGACGTGGTGCTGCCCTCTCTGGATGGGAGGAAGATGACTCTTGGTGGTGGTGCTGTGGAGCAGCTGGGTGAGGTACTGGTCAAACTGGTCTTTTGAGCCCTCTGGAGTTAAAAAGCAGACAAACCATTACTAACAGTTTAATCATATGTCATTCAAAGTATCACGCAGTTAATCAGCAGCTACCCAAGGGAACATAGTTGTTGTATTTCTCTCCATATTCCTCCTCATCATCATCATCATCCTCTAGTAAGCTGTCATCGTTCTCCTCATCCAGGAAGCTGAGGCGAGTGTGGAAGGACGTGGTCTGGATACTGGAGAGGTCTGACATCTGCACCCTGTAGTAACATCAGCAGAAAATACCCACACATTAACATTTAACACACTAATATTATGATGTCCTGTGGTACAGATGAAAACAGACCTTGCTCCAGCGAAATAGCCATCTTGCAGTTTCCTGAGGGTTGATACGATACACGGGTCAATCGCGTCTGCATCTTCAACTGGAAAAAAGAGCAGTGAAATAATTTGACAAAATAGCAGTATGGAAATCTACAGTAGGAATATTTTGGATCCCAAGCTTGGAAGCAACATATACAATTTGTGCAGATTATTAATTGTTAAAATGTATTATATGCAATCCTGTTTTGGATTACATTCCTGCAAGCTGCTGCAATATAAAATGCTATTCAAAATGAAATTTGTGAAGGTTTCACACTTCTAATCTTCCTGAAAACTATATCTGTCAAACTGATTTCCTTTAGGGTAAAGAGCCTTATTACCCAGCATGCTGCGGGTGATTGGGAAAGTGAGTGTGGGCCGTCCTGTCATCCTCCAGCAAGAGGAGAGATAGGCCAGCTCGGTGCGTAACATCTCCACGATCATCTGGTTGTCCAGTGCCAGGTAGAAATGGTGCTGATCCAGAAACTGGAACATAGAGAAGAGAGGATCAATATTATTAATTAATGAAAATGACTACCACCTTGTTGTTTTGAATATCAATATCACAAACTCAAGTTTTACCTGGGGGGCGAAAATATAAGAGCGATTTCTGATCTCGTAGAATTTGGATGTTCCCAGAACACCGATGTGTCTGTAGGGCCTCCCGCTCAAATTCAGTTTCTTACAGCTTCCTGTGGCAATGACACAAGATGTTACTTTTATTATTCTTAATGTTAGGGATTAATTTTGTCTTTACTTCTAGATATTTAACCTTTCTGCCTGTTGACGTTTATCACCAACCCTGAGTCTGTTATCTCCCGTAAGGAATGTGCTAATGCAGTCATATGCACTCATTCTCAGTTTTATGACCGGTCAACTCTCGGTCACAGAGCCTAAGAGTCAGGCAAGTGATTGAGTATCTCCAGAATGTTGGGGATATCTCCAGTGTTTACGCACCATCCCCCAATATGTGGATTAACTCTTTGTAAACTAGTTAAAAGGTCTATGAGAGAGAGAGAGAGGCTGGTCAGATTTGACATGGCAAGCCACCCGTGCAGTCAGAACCTCTGGCTGTGGGACTTGTGATGTGAATTTCTCTGGCCGATACTTGTAATAAACATCAGTGTTTGACATCAAAGCTCCAACTCTCCTCGTGTCTCTCTGAGTCCTGACTCTCCATTGCTGCAGAAGTTTCCCTTACACTTAACACAATCACACTAAAGGAAAAAGTGATAGTGCTCGTTTACCAAGTTTGACATAGACATGGCTCAGGATGCGAGCAGGCATGACCCTGATGGGCAGAACCTCAGCCATTGTCTGCACAGTGATCCCATGATCTCTCAGCAGCTCCTGGATCTCCTCAGTCTCTGCTAGTACACACACTGACACATGGAAGAAGAAATATATTATGTCCTGCTTGCTTTGATCAAATCTGTATACAAACCAGTGGCGAACCGTCAGGGCCTTTAAGGTATTCAGAGAATACCCTGGAACACTCAGATAAAACAAACAAAAAATCAATTTAATTATATAAATAAAATGTATGTAAAATGAATAAATGACAATCGTATCTGTGTTGTTGATCTGTAATATTACAGTGTTACGTTCATTTGTTTGTCCTTCTCGGACCATGCACTACGCATTTCAGTGGTTTTGTGTTAGAAAAGAAAGCAACCAATCAGATCTTGTTCTGGGTCTCTGGGTAGAATATCCTTCAAACAAGGTATTCTACATCCTTGATCGAATGCCCTGGCCGTTGCACTGAATGAGAGCGTACGTTTGACTGACAGTTTGATCAACCAATCATATTGATTTGTAGCCAATGGGCGTATTCTTTCAGAGTTCCCCTCGGTTCCAGGGTATTCAAGAAGGCCCGGTAGTTAACTGGCTCGAGGCAGAGGATCTAGATGAATGCCACGAAGCCATTCATTTGCCGTTTTATTGTTTTTAACGTTGAAATGGCAAGTGCAACAGGTGAAGATGATGTTGTTGCGGAATTGTTGTGAGTACCCTTTTCAAGACGACAATTCAGTGAAAAGACGGACATCATAACCGCGGGGGGCGGCGGCGGAGGGTGTGTGTGTGTCTACAGAAGGTCCAGTTGTGATAGACACGGTTCGCACCTCATACAAACTAATGCAATTTGTTGATAGTTTTGAAGTTGTGTGTGAGTATTCCCCCATAGTTTGCCTAACAAGTGATATGGTTGTACGAAAACTTCATCTTCATGTTTAATCACATAAACACATTTTATTCAATGATTTCTAATTCTTTCATTCTTCCTGTTAGCAGATTTTTGGGGATTCAATTCATTTTTTATTCAACTTCTGGGCAGATATTTCTTCAAACTAATGATAGATCACAAACCTTGTACCACAACATCGGGCTTGAAGTTCGTAGAGAATCTCCGGTTGAGAGGATCTATTTCTCCTGGTGCTAAAAAGCCCTTCACACAGAAAGAAAAAGAGAGAAAGAGAAATGGATGGTGAGCTATTACTGAGGTTAAGAATGGCAGTGGTATTATTGAGGACATCTGGTAGAAATTCATTTTCTTCACGTTTATAATATATAGAAACTGCTATATTCCTGATTAGTGACATTGTCTATTGCAGTGATAATCGCAGTAATAACAGATGGCTGCAGAGTGTTGCAGGTTGTGTTGTTTAAGGTTCCTGTTAGTACCTCGGCCAGGAGACAGCTCAGGATGTAGAGCGACTGTCCCCACATGTGCGGCAGCTGCCCCATGGCTAATCTGTCCACTGAGTGAGGATTGCTGTACTCCTCCTCCACCTGTTAGTAGATAAAACGTGTTCTCATTTTCATGTGGTTGATAACATACTCACAATGACCATGCTAGTCTGTACCATGCTCATCTTAATTTAGAGTTTAGCTAACATTTCCACTCATTAAGTGCAGCTGAAGCTGAATGTTGTTAACCTTAGTCATAACAAGTATTATAAATTGAGATTTCGCTGGCTAGTCAGCATGTCTAAAAAACTAAATTATATTCAGAGTAATACAAAGCATTAAATTACAACATTTTGTATATCATTTTATTTAGCACACCCTTTTTCGTCATTTTATATAAAGGAGGTTTAGTATTAAAGGCCTTCACATTGTCAAAGTAGATACAATTGAATATTATTTATCCATGAAAAGATAAGCATTAGTCCTGTCATGTTCATGAAACACTTCAATATCATATTGTAGGTTTTGTCAGAGTATGCGAATATAATCTGTCGTATGTGTCCTATGGTAATGGGATACCTTGTCAAGTGGTACAGCATAAAGTTCAGGCAACAGTTTGATGCCGTTCTTCCCTCTGATCAAAATGCCCTCCAGTGCCTCACGGTACTCCTGAACCTGTGCAAAGCCCAGTCATTTGTTCAATATCACAAGTCATTCAAAGTGACTTAATGACTGTGTGAATACTATCAAAACTGGACCAGTGTGTTTGGTTTTATCACCTGTACTTGATCTCCAGCAAAGATACCGTCCAGGATGAGATAGGTCCAGAAGACGGGCCACTCACACTCGATATTCTCAAACAGCTTAAGCTCTGCAGGATCGTAGTGCAGCCGAGATGGGTCCTAGAGAGGAAACAGCGAAGGTCTACAGTACAATCTGCCAGCTAAAACTATACAATACACATGATCTTACAAGAAAAAAAAAATCATACTAAGCCACCGATGGAATCCACTCAAAGGGTCTCTTATTCCATTCAAAGGTGCGTTTATCTATAATTTAAAGGAATATCTTACCTCTTTAGGACATCGATATCCATCCCTGATGAAGCGACAGCATCCATAGCGACCCTGAAACAACCCAAAAGAGTGAAAAGTGTTAGCTTGATTATTAACTTTCAAGAACAAGGAAAAAGAGTATAAGATCAAATACTGTATTGTGTACTGTACCTGCAGTTTGCTTATGATTTCCGACTTAGTGATGGCCACGAGTTCAGCATCCTCAACAGCAAACGCAGGGAAGGAAATGACGGACAGAAGCCCAGCGTCTATCTCCTTTGAAGTTGAAGCTCTTGGCAGCATGGAGCAAAGGATGGACTGTAGAAAAACACACAGAGATGCTCAGAAAACGAAGAGAGACATGTTGGTGTGGCTGAAGGTAAAGAAAAAAGTTACCTGACAATGTTCCACTTCATCAGGCAAAACATGGATGACTGACTTTGGACCTCCATGAGCACCAAAAAGATCCAGCTCATCTATGGCCTCCAGGGCTGCCTGCACACAAACACATCTTAAACAAAACGTCCATCTGTTGGTCTTTATGTATGGTATGTCATAACCATAGTAACATGTACCTTAGCAATCCCTACAGAGCTGCCATTGAGCTCTGGGATGCCCTGGTTGGTCTTGTCACCTCGCTCCCACATCCCATAGTCCTACAGGAGAAGTAAATAATATTGACATAATTTATTCCCAAATGATCCAGTCTCTAAATTATACCCATATGTCAGATCTTAGTTTTCAGTATTCCACAGATTCTTCTTCCTTGATAAAGCCTGATGCCTAAATCACCCAGAATTCAACTTGATTACAGTGTTTATACTAGGAGATGAATGCAGAGATGATGAACAGGTTAAGGTAAGCTCACTTCTTTTTAACTCCAAACCAGCAGACTTATAGTTTTTACTGACAATGACTCAAGTGACATTTGAGGCAAATGTAAGCTGGACAAAACATAAGCATCTACCTTGTATTTTCTACAAACCAAATCTTTGAAATTGTTACTCACCGCCACTTTGTATGCAGCCTCTATGTAGAAGACCATGTTTTGGATAAAAGCCACTTCATCCAGGTTTGAGATAATGCGAAGACCTGCAAGATATTATGACAACATCAGCGACCAACTCATGCTTTGGTACTTTAATTGTCCCCACAGAAGGGAAGCTGACCAAGCATGGTGAATTTTTGTTTTTATACTAGGCCAACTTTTTCAATACCTACAATACCAAAAATGAGACAGAAATACCACTTGTAGTTTTTACTGACCTGAGGCTGTCATCTGGGCCAGCATCAGCAGGTAAATGGAGGTGGCGTCTACCTGGAGATGGCCCCACTGGTCGTCCCCAACAACCGTGGCACAGGTGGGAGTATCATATTTGGCATGCAAGCAATCTTTTGTACTCTGGGTGTATTTGAACTTCTCCACCTTGGCCACCTGAACATGCAAATATGCATACACAAAAGACACGTACACATATTTAGTACATGTGTTTTTGGGGTGTTAAGCCATTAGAGAGCAGAAAATAATTCAGAAGAGATGGTGGATGACATGCAACACAAATATCCCAAAAGTAAAGATTTCTATATACAAGTATATTGTTGAAACATGAAATCACAGTTTTATAAATCGTAAGGATTGTGTTTGTATGCGAATCCCACATATGCTCCAAAATATAGTTATTGATCTTATGCAGCAGAAAATGTTGATATGGATGATATGGAAAATAATTATATGTGTTAACTTCACAGTGATTCTCCAGTGAGTCATTTTTCTTTAGGCCAACTGATGACAATATCTCAGCAGCAGAGGATGATTATTTCATGGCTTCCCAAACACTGCAACATTTTAACACTCTGATGTGAACTTGGCATCTTCATCTTATTTCCAGCAATGGAAGAAGATAACAGTGACACCGTTACTACAGACAGGCTTTTACTATCACTTTCACTTTAACATATAGATCACCAACATATTGTTAATTATTGGAAATGTGTTTTTCTGACTAACTGCCCATGTTTCCTGAGTTTGACGAGCCTGTGCAGAGTGAGCAGACTGTGGTCAGAAACCTGGAGATGCTGTTTACATAAAACACTGTTTGAATACCACAGTGCCCCTGATAACAGTGTGGTTTCAAATAACCAAAACACAGGCATATTAGATTTTCTACCACGAGGATGTGTGTAAACACAAGTGAACGTATGAACAACTAATGTGAGCAGAGGGCTGTCTTACCTGTCTCATCATGCACTGCAGAAGGCCCTGCATCAGCTTCACCACACTCTGTCAACAACAACAACAATCACTTGTGACTTGAGTTATTTTATAATGCTCAAAGTGATGTTTATAATTTGATTACTAACTCTGACTAACAGCCAAAAATAAGATAATATGATACATACAGTATACATGCAAAGTTGTAACCAGCAAATCTTTTAATGGATTGAATAACTTTAATCTGTGTTATAAAAATGAAATATCTTGTTTAAATTTGTGTTATTTACAACTGTAGTATATATTTGTGTAAATTACTCAAATAAGAAAGTGCGTACACCAAATGCTTGCTACTATAAAATAAGCACTGCCATGATCATTACCAATCCCACACACACCTGCTCCAGTTCGTAGGCCTTGGCCTTGTCTTCGTCTCTGTCTGCATTCTTGCGGTAGGCCATGCCCAGCCCCCACACAGCCAAGACGCTGTAAACATTATCCCTCACCCAGGCATCCTTCTTCTGGGCACTGGCTGGCAGAAGTCCTGTCACTGGGTTCTGAAACAAACATACACTCAAAATTCTTATCAAAGAAGATACATGTTTTCCTACTTGAGCTTCTGCTTTCATAACACGGATGTACAGTATACATTCTTTCATAACAAGAATGTACAGTATACATTACTTGTTCAGGTTTTGGTTTAAGAATCCTCTAAAATCAGACCAACAGCGTGACTATACACCCTGGCATAGTCATATTGTATAAGGAAAGTTGGCACTGTGTCCATGGGTCACACTTTAAACTTAGACAGCTGTTGACTTTTTTGAAGTCCTAATAGATAAAGGTGCATAGTTCCCCGGTCCTCAGCCTTTTTCCATGGGCTGAACTTTGCTCACACCTTGTTTATTTCTATGCAGCTCAATCTAGTTGAACCTGAAGCTATAAAGGCAAAAAAATACTTAAACAAAACTAGAAACAGTGTCCGTGAATGAAAATGTTATGGTAATAAGTAAGTGCAATGCACATTAAAAAAAAGTTTAAGCTTATTCCCAATTTATGTTGCTTTATAAGCAGTGTTGGATGTAACGCGTTACAAAAGTAACGGAGTTACAGTAATATATTACTTTTTGCTGTAACGAAGTAATGTAACGCATTACTAATGAAATATGGGTAATATATTACCCGTTGCAATGCTCAGTAACGTAGTTACAACACATTTTAACCCGAAATGAAATGGTGTTTTGTTTTTTAAGAATGTACTAACATAGCGAGACATTCCGACACCAGAGACAAATTGTGCGGGTAGATTAGTAGACCTGGTGTGTTTACCCTTCAGGCTTCGCGTCGGCAGTTGAATGTTATGCACCCTCTATTCAAAAAAGAGAACGGAGCGAAAAATACAAACAACAAATTGTGTCAGGTGCGCGTGACCTGCTCCGCTGCGCGTGCATCATTTCCAAAGTGCTTCCACAGCAGTGACACATCTGTGGATAATTATTTATACGAAAATGGTTAAAGCAACCATCACTAAACGCCAGCAACACTGCATCTACTGCAGACAGTATACAGGTCAGATGGGGACATCACGTTACCCTCCGTCGTGGACACTAGCTTACTCCCGCCTGACTCGCCCCCGGAGCCGCAGTCTTCGTCATCTGAAACTACGCCGCCCCTCTGCGGCCCGCAGGTGCCAGGATACCACGGCAAAACAGAGCCTGCCCAGGTATATCTAAACAAGTACCCGCCTGTACAGTGGGGTAAGGCGGTCATTTTGCAGCTCGTGGTATACAAATAGACAAGGGCTAGAATATTCATGTGAAAATAGTGCCATATTCTGCCATGCCTGTAGAAATGTTGGGTCAAACATAATGCATACAATAGCATAGATGCCTTCACCACGAATGGCTACAAAAAGATCTCATATCCCAAGCTTATCAACAAGCTAATGTTGCAGCTGAAATGATCTCCAGGGCCCAGGAGTTCAACACTTGTAATCCCTATTTGATCAGATCAGATTTGGATTTTGGGGAGTTCAAAACCAAAAAACAGGATTAGGATCACTTTGATATCAGATCAGGAAATCCAATCCAAGCTTTAATCTGGATCAAATCTTCAAAACGGGTAGTTCAAACCGACAACACAGGATTGGGATCAGTTTGATCCCAAAAAACTGGATTATCCTGATCCCACCAGAGGGGTGGATTTCCAGTGGATTACCAGAGCAAAATGTACTGTACAATTTATTTAAAAATATGTTTCAATATAAATAAGATGGCACAATTTGTTAACTGAAATAATACACAATTTTTAGCCTTCATGGGAAATACATTTTATTTTTTCCATGTTTGCTCACATTTGTGGTGGCCTATTTTGTTTTCAACCAAATGTTGATGACATAAATGTTTATGCTCATAAATTTATCACAACAAAGATTGTCAATCACAAATGTAATTTGCGCGTGCACTACGCTCTGCATCAGCCAAACGACTCGTTGCGCCCTCGCTGCGAGGGGGACCCAAGTTCCCATCGGCGAAAACACGTGGGTTTGCTATCCTGGCTCCAAGATGGTGGAATGAGCTCCCCATTGACATCAGGACAGCAGATAGCTTGCACATCTTCCGGCGCAAACTGAAAACTCATCTCTTTCGACTCCACTTCGAGCGTTAGAACGATTAACGAAGCACTTTTATACTAATAAAGGACTGGATTACCTAAAGCCAGTTGAGTAGCACTTGAAATGTTTGGCTCTATGAAACCTGATATACTTATATGATTCTGTTTTCTTCAAGGTTGTGTCTTCCTGGTCGAATGTACTTATTGTAAGTCGCTTTGGACAAAAGCGTCAGCTAAATGCAATGTAATGTAATTTAGATTAAAGAAAAAATATCTTCAACGAAAAAAAGTCCATCATCTGTCATCACCTTTCAAAATTATTGCGGACAATAGAAGTCTCTGCAATGTGGTCTCTTGTCTTCCTTGTATTATTTTCCATATCCACTAGATGGAGATCGGTAGGATTAAAGCACTGATATTCAGGATCTAGTCATCTTGAAAAGTCGTAATCTGGATCAGGCTGATCCTATCCTGAATTGATTTGAACTCCAGGGACAAAATGTGTCCGACTTGTCTGATCCTGGATCACAAAAAATGGGATTTCAAAATCTGATCTGATCAGATAGGGATTAAACGTTTTTAACTCCTGGGCCCAGGTCACAAAGTCAACCTCACATGATGATGTGATACCAGTTTTCAAGCACAGTAAATATTCTCTTCCCAGAGTATATGATGGGACCAAAGTGATGATTTAGTACATGGTTTTAATAATACTTTTTGCTTTTCAATGTTTGCCATTTCAAACCATGAGCTGGTTCAAATAATATTTGCCTTGATTTACAATATGTTCTCATTTATTTTATCAGTAGCTTTGAAGCTTTTGTGCTTTTCCTTGCCATTGTCCACTTTGGACTATATGAAATATTTCAGGATTGCACTTTTAACTCACTTGAAATGTTCTCACTTGCTTGGTTTCAAAACATAACAAATGCCATAATCTGTTCATTGGGGATCATCAATGCTATTTTTCATTGCTGTTGCCAGCCACTATTGCTCATGTAAACCTACTACTGCTGCGCCCCCTGTAATCTCAGAGGCACCCTGAGTCATTTTGTTCTGGAACCGGGCCTGTACACGGCCATATACTAAACAAAATACAGAGCCCATTCCGTGTCCTGTTAGTGTTTACTTCCTGTCTGCCTTCTTCTAGTGATTTATCTGACGTCCAGCGCTCTGTCTTTTAACCTCTTTTCCTTTCTCTTTCTTGATCCTCCTTAGCAACCTTCATTATAGTCCTTGACAGTGGTCTGTACTGTATTAACAACGTGTCACATGTTAAGAATTTACAATCAGAATCGAGTATTCAACTAAGCCGTGTAATACAAGTTGTTAGTAGCCTTAAGGGCCTACACAGTTGTTATGCTATACCACATTGCCCTTCACTGGATGTATAATGAGCTGCACTAAACTACATTTTAGCATTTAAAACACCTAGCCATTCTTTTAAGGTTATTTTGGTGAAAGTAACTCAAAAGTAACTCAAAAGTAGTGTAACTCATTACATTTCAGAGACAGTAATATTGTAATGTAACTTATTACTTTCAAAAGAGAGTAATAAATAATATGTAATATATTACATTTTGGAAGTAACTTGTCCAACACTGTTTATAAATCAACTCTACTCCATTTTGGAGGCAAATATTAAACTTGTTACTCTAAACCTATATCTGTAACTGACAGCTTTAGTGACACGTTAGTTTACACATACTGGATATGTGTACTTGTGATATATTGTTAATATAATTTCTAAATAATTTGAATGACTGTAAAAGTCGAGCTTCAATAAGCAGCTTGCACTGCACAGTACCAGCATAGTCTGCAAGGTAAATGCCAGGTGCACAGAGTTCATCCATATTGTAACAATGTATTTGTTTCCTCTTTATAATATACTATTATTCCTAACATTAAATAAACAAATAAACGATGATGTATCGTTATAGAGTATGCTACCCATTCATGTGTGAGGTAGTTAGAATGAGCCCTCCTTTTACAATGTTACATAAGAATTATGCTAATGTTAATCAATAATTATATAATCCATTTATATAATGTACATCATTCTGAAATACGAAATGCTGCTTAATAAGTACCATTGCAACGTTAAGCGTTTTTAATGCAACTACATACATTAACGTTATGTCAATGCAAGACTTTTAACACTGTGCTAATCCTAATGCTAATCCTGAATCCTGCCATGCATGACTGGATTTACCTGGTGGCACAGGATAGTCTCTTGGACCAGCCTGGCATAGCCGTCCAGTCTCACCCCGGAGTTACTGCGGCTCCTCATCCTCACAGATCACTGCGCACAAAACACCACAAATTATGTTTGACCAAGTATACAGCACTTAACGTTGGTTATCATATTAAGGATAAATGCAACGACTAAAAGTAGATTAATCCCTGACGTAGTGTACCTGTCAGTGGTGCATCCTCCGGTCCTGCAGTGGTGGTCCGACAGGCTGACCGCTCTGCATGCTCGGCTAAAACTGGCTAGCTGAGTAGCATCAAACTAGGCTTGTTTGAGACAAGCGAGACTTGCGCAGTTGCGATTGTCACTACCCGATCTGCAGTGCGCATGTGCGAGATGGTCCGCCATATTGGACAACTCCGGACGGCAAACCAAGTAGGACAACATTGACACAGTGGCTTTTGGCAAAGCTCAAAAGGAAAACGAGAGAGAGATGAGTTATTGTTATTACGTGACTTCACTATTATATAACAACTCTTTTTATTGGGTTCTTTTATTTGGGGTTAAGTACATTGTCAGAATAAGTGAGAAATGGATTTAACTTTAACCTCTTTAGCCTGATGCTTCAATTAATTTTAAACAGACAGTTCAACAGAAGGATACCCAAAAAATGTAATGTTATCATTTAAATATTGAATTGTTCTCTCTTAGTAAGATCCCATTTTCAATAAAATTGTGGTCTTACCTTGACTTGAAGATGAAGTCCATTTGCCTATCCTTCTGGACAAAAATCTCTATTACTTTTTTGTAAAAGTCCTCCTTATCTTCTTGTAGTTTCAAAAGTCTATCATAAATCTAAATGATGGATTTATGATTCGAAAATTATAAAAGTAGGGTAGACATGTGGATATTATCCGGCTGAACAAAACGTACATTTATCTAACAGCTACGTTTCCCAGAGATCTTATTTTGAGCTATTTTCTAAAATCCTATGGAGAAATCGCATTGCTTTTTTGTGGAGGGAAGCCATGCGCTTGTCACAAAACATCTTACTGATAGTGTATCCAACAAACTTAAACTAGCTTTATTAAATGTCAGGTCTCTGGCAGGAAAAACATTTTTAATCAATGATTTTATCACTGAGCACAATCTTGATATTATGTTTTTAACGGAAACTTGGATTGAACAAAATAACAGTGCAGCTGTTCTTATCGAATCAACCCCTCCCAACTTTAGTTTTATGAGTCAGGAAAGAATGCATAAGAGAGGAGGTGGAGTTGCTATTTTGTTCAATGATTCCATTCAATGCAGGAAGACATCTTATGGGAACTTTGCTTCTTTTGAATATGTGGCCCTTCAGCTGAAATGCTCCTCTCGAGCTCTGTTCCTAAATATCTATAGACCACCCAAATACTGTGCAAGCTTTTTTGATGACTTTACTGAAATGCTGTCTATAGTGTGTATTGACTTTGATCGTCTAGTCATTGTTGGTGGTTTTAACATCCATGTTGACAACCCCCAGGACAGAGGGGCTAAATAACTGTTTTGTGTTCTTGATAGCTATGGACTGACTCAGCATGTGACGGAGCCCACGCACAATAAGGGGCACACTCTGGACTTAATTATCTCAAAGGGTCTGAATATCTCTAAGATTGTGGTGACTGATGTTGCACTCTCTGATCATTCCTGTGTGTTCTTTGAGAGCTCTATTTCTGTTCACAAAAATGTTCAAAAAGAGGTAATCACAAAGCGATATTTAACAAAAAATACTAGGGAAATGTTTACTCAGAATTTTTCTTCCACACTTGCCCCTGCTAACATCTCAGTAAATGAGCTAGTAGATCATTTTAATTCAAAAATTAAAAATGTTATAGATGCCATTGCTCCAACTAAGGTAAAGGAAGTGACTGGGAAGAAAATATCTCCATGGAGAAAGGCCATGACCGTGAGAGCAGAAAAAAGAGAATGTCGAAAAGCTGAACGCAGGTGGCGAAAAACAAATCTCCAGGTTCACTTTGAAATCTATAAAGAGAGACTTGGCCTTTATAATTTGGAATTGAAAAACGCACGACAGTCTTTCTTCTCTGACATCATTACCAAAAACAAAAACAATGCACGTGCCTTGCTTGCTACTGTCGACAGACTAACTAACCCCCCAGTGTCAGTAGCCTCTGAATTTCTATCCACCAGGGTGTGCAATGATTTTGCCTCCTTTTTCACTGACGAAAATCAGACAAGCAGTCAGTGCCTCTGCATCAGGTACAGCAAATGTGTTGTCCCTATGTCCACCTAATATCAATTCAAACACCATGACACAATTCCATCAGATTAATGATAAAAACCTAGAGGACATTATTCAACTTCTGAAATCCTCCTCCTGCTGCCTTGATATTATTCCAACAGGATTTTTCAAAGATGTTTTTCGTTGCATGGCCTCAGATCTACTTCATATAGTAAACAAATCTCTTCACTCAGGTAGTTTTCCACAGGCCCTGAAAACTGCAGTCATTAAACTGCTCTTAAAAAAGAATAATCTAGATGCTTCAGTAATGAACAATTACAGGCCCATATCAAACCTGCCATTTCTAGGTAAAATCATTGAAAAAGTTGTTTTTCAACAGTTGAGTAATTTCTTGCATTTAAATAGTTGTTTCGATATGTTCCAGTCAGGCTTTCGTCCAAACCACAGCACTGAGACTGCTCTTGTAAAGGTCTTCAATGACATCCACTTAAACACAGACAGTGGCAGAACTTCAGTGTTAGTATTATTAGATCTCAGTGCTGCGTTTGACACTGTTGACCACAACATATTACTCGACCGACTAGAAAACAGGGTGGGACTTTCGGAAACAGTTCTAAATTGGTTTGAATCCTACTTAAAGGACAGAAACAACTTTGTTTCTATAGGTAAATACACATCTGAGTTGACAAATATGACATGTGGGGTACCTCAAGGCTCCATCTTGGGGCCTCTTCTCTTTAACATCTACATGCTACCACTGGCTCAGATAATGAAAAACAACAAAATAAGTTACCATAGCTATGCGGATGACACACAAATGTACGTAACAATTTCACCAGGAGACTATTCTCCAATTCAAACACTGAGTAAGTGCATTGAACAAATCAATGACTGGATGTGTCAGAACTTTCTCCAATTAAACAAAGATAAAACTGAGGTAATGGTTTTTGGAGCCAAGTCAGAATGTATAAAAGTTAGCGCTGAGCTTCAGTCTGCAATGTTCAAAACAACAGATAAAGCCAGAAATCTAGGTGTAGTCATAGACTCTGACCTGAGTTTCAACAGTCACATTAAAACTGTTACTAAATCAGCCTACTATCACCTAAAGAATATATCTAGGATTAAAAGACTAATGTCACAGCAGGATTTGAAAAAACTTGTCCATGCTTTTATCTTCAGTAGACTGGACTACTGCAATGGTGTCTTCACAGGTCTCACTAAAAAATCTATTAGAAATCTGCAGCTAATTCAGAACGCTGCTGCTCGAGTCCTCACTAACACTAAGAAAGTGGATCACATCACTCCTGTTCTGAAGTCTTTACACTGGCTTCCTGTGTGTCAAAGAATAGATTTCAAAATACTGCTGCTGGTTTATAAAGCTTTGAATGGTTTAGGCCCAAAATACATTTCTGACCTACTGCTAAATTATGAACCATCCAGATCTCTCAGGTCTTCAGGGACTGGTCAGCTTTCTGTCCCCAGAGTCAGAACTAAACATGGTAAAGCAGCGTTCAGTTATTATGCTCCAAATATCTGGAACAAACTCCCTGAAAACTGCAGGTCCGCTGCAACTCTGACTACTTCTAAATCCAGACTAAAGACTTTTATTTTTGCCGCTGCTTTTAATTGAACTATTCACATCTTAAACTGCACTGTAACTTTTATCCATGTATTTTTTCTTTTAATGTTTATTTTATTATCTTTTCTTTTTAATGCCATTTTCTTAATGTCTTTCGTTTTTTGTAAAGCACTTTGAATTGCCTTGTGTTGAAAGGTGCGATATAAATAAACTTGCCTTGCCTTGCCTTACTTCCTGGTTTTAGGACGCGTCTCTCTCCTCCTCTTCACCTCCTCTTCACACCACACTTTTTGCGGCACACGTACTTACAGCCAATCAGCTCTGAATTATGTGAGATGACGTATGGTGGGGAGGGGAGGATCGGGTTTTGTCCCACTGGTTGTCAGGCCTGGTGAGAGGCTTCACAGAAAGAGAGAGCGTGTACAGTAAGTATGTGAGCATTGCACATCCATCCTGGGAAAATAAAATACATTATGTACGCCTACTTATGTTGTTTGAGTGTTTGCCGGAAGGGGGCGCCATATGACCTAATTGTTTTCCCTTAAAGGTTTAAGGTCACAACCAAATGTAAACATTAGAAACTTTCCCATACAGCTTATTAGCTCTGCACTTTTATAGAATGAGAAAACACAAAAACACAAACTAAAATAATAAACTGTATTGATATTTTTCTTAGGGTGGGATTTTTTCCTGCTATCATCACCTTGTTTTACCCCTTTCCAATATATTGATTAACATGTTGAATAAACTCATTGCTCTGTTTTAATAATTAGTTTATTGTTTTTCCTTTTTGCCTAGTTTTTATCGTAAGTGTTGTGAAGAGCAGGGCTTCCTAATATTTGTTTTGAAAAAGTGCTATATTAATAAATACATTACTATAATAAGGAGAAGAGCACCAGTGAATACACAAATAAACACAATTAGAAGTAGTGGAAGAAATGCAGAAGTGTTTTCTGCAAAATGTCCTTTAATTAGAAAAATAAGAGTACACAATTAGTAACTAGCATTTCACTTTTTGGCAAATGTAAGTATACTGTAAGCAGAAAGCTGCACAAAAACATGCACATACTTTACATAAACCGCTAAATGTACGTGACCTATTCCATACTTAGCCATAAATATATACAGGTTATCCTACACTCTTGCAACACTGAATGTCTCATTTTATAGTAATAGTTTTGACAGTGATGATATTGACTTTGTTAAGTAATTTGTACTTATAGATTTGTATTACTTGTCCTTGGCTGTCACGGTACCTTGTGAATTTGTTTTGAATTGCTCTTGTATAGTTCCTATGTTTACCTTGGTTCTTATAATAGTTGTATGTTTCTCTTGTTTTATTACTTCTTATATTATTTATTTATTCTCATTACTCAAATGATATGTACATGTTTGTCTTTTTGCTGATGGGGTGAACATATTGTTTATTATATATACTGCCAGGTAGCTTGTGAATTTTGCCCTGAAATAATGATGTGATACCTTATCCTTTGGAGCAGTCAATACACAAAGTAACTAGTAAGTTATTTCTGTGAGACCCCCTTGAAAACACGATTGAGCATCTCAAGGGGTAATTCTC